GATGTGGAGAAGCTTGAGAAAGTCCAGAGGAGAGCCACATGCATGATTAAAGGACAAGAGAGTAGGTCTTATGAGGAGAGGCTGAGAAGTATGGGACTCTCCAGCCTGGAATTGCAAAGACTCAGGGGTAACTCGGTGGCAGCCTATAAGTATATAAGGGGTGTACATCAGGAACTGGGAGAATGTCTGTACACCAAGGCACCCCAAGGGAAGACAGGGTCACAAACTCCTGGAAGACGATTTTAGGCTAGACATAAGGAAAAACTTCTTTACCGTTCAAGTCCCCAGAGTCTGGAATAGACTGCCCCCAGAAGTGGTGCAAGCATCTACTCAGGCATCCAAGTGTTTCTTAAAGGTGTCCAATCTTGCTGGGATCATATGACCCCAGCTGGCTTCCTGCCCCTTGGGCAGGGGGCTGGACCTGATGATCTTGTGAGGTCCCTTCCAACCCTAATGTCTAATGTCTATGAAGAGTGCCCATGTGTACCAATTTAGCACACAGGAATGTGTACCAGTTTAGCTATATTTGGTTTAAAAACCGATTTAAATTATACTGGTGCAACTTGCTTATATAGACAAGGCATTTAGCTCCTAAATAACATATACTTTTGAAAATTTCACCCATGGTCTCTACTTGCCCTATAATTTGTGTAATACTTTTTTGATCCTGGCTATCCTATCTGCCTGCCCAGTCTCCTGGGACAACAAGTTCTACAAGTTAACTGCACTGTGTAAGAAGTACTTTTTCTTGTAAACTCATCTCCTGCTAATTTCAGTAAGTGTGCCCTAGTTCTAATATTCTGGGACTCGGTGAATAGTAGTTTCCTATTCGCTTTGTCCATGCCCTTCAAGCATAGGCAATGTATGGGGGCGGGGGCACATGCCCCCCCCCCCCCCGCACTGACCCCCCTGACAGTGAGTGCTCTAGCTGGCCACTGTGGGACCTCTCCCCTGGTCGCTGGCTGACCACTGGGGGACTTCCCCACCCCCCCCGCCCCACCCCCGACTCAGGGGGGACCAGTGCCTTCCAGCATTCATAGATTCTCTTATATCACCATTTAACCTTCACCTTTCCTAAGTGAAGAGTCCTAGCCTTCATCTTTGTTGCCCTTTGCTATGCTTTTTCTAATTTCACAGTGTTCTTTTTGAGATGTGAAGACCAGAACTGCACACAGTATTTGAGATGTGGAAACAGCTCAGATTTATGAAGTGGAATAATCTTTTCTACTCCCCTTCTCCCCCTCCCCCCCCCCATGTCCTTCTTAATGATACCCAATATTTTATTGCCTTTTTCTGGTTGCTGTGTACATTGACCACAGTGAGAAAGAAAAAGTCAAAGCTAAAATAATGAAAAAGGAAGGACAATTCAAACTACTATTTTTGTTCCTTACTATCCTGACATCACTTCTGTGTTAGTTTAAGAGACTGTTTCCTAAGCCAACCCTTTTGCTAAAGTAATGCTCTAATTTTAGGCTCATCATACAGCTACAAAATGTTTTCTTTATAAAAGATTGTAACATGGCTTTAAGACAATCTCTTTGTTCACAGGGTTCAGAAATAGAAAAAAGATTTGAAATATTTTTTCTAATTCACTTTCTATATCTTTACGTGGTATTTTGTTCCAAGAAAAATCAGAATAATAAAATGCATGCACTTGCAGTGTGCTGCAATGTGCTTATTATTTTGCTATCCTAATACACTCTGATTTTCTCTGCAAACAGATGCTATAAATGCTGCTCCTAATTAAATATTAAGGGCCAGATTCACAGGAGGGCCTATGCCAGCAAAAGACTCCAAATCTTGGCACAGAACTCCAAATCCACTGAAGGGATGGTTGTAGATGTACAAAATACTTGGAATCTGTTGTACTGTGGGGCCTGCAAGCAGCCAAACCCTCTCAAATGGCTGGTGCTCTCTGGGTATGTGATGTGTCTTGGGCAACTGGGAGATGCACTGATCCAGATCATCTGTGGCTGATAGAGATCCTGGAGCATGCAGCCAAATTGGAAGCTTCTCCACGCTCATTGAGCCTTCAAAGGAGAGCTATGATGACAGAATCACTACTTGCCTTTGAGATGGGGACTTTTCTAAACTACTACAGCAGCTTTCATCAAAAATGTGAAACACAAACTGTATCTCTTATCCTACCTAGGGTGAATCTGACCCTGAGTTATCAAGAAATTGATGGGGCCAAAACTTGAATGGACCTTTGCCACTTCGGCTTATAGGAACAGCTAGAG